ACTAAGTTGTCCGTGACTGTTACTAAGCTAAAAAGAACCAAAGAAAAGTGGGGGAAGAACTCAAGTGTTATGACCAAATTAGAGAGTTTCAGTCTAATGTTTAGCCTTTGTATAAAACACCCCCGTAAGCCCCTTGACGAGCCCAGACAGATATAGGACATAGTCACTACTCTTGAATAAGTTCCATTTTAGTTTACATACTTAAAATATAACAACAGAGAAGAGTATGACATGAGTGGTAAATATCATAGAAATTCAGAGTCAGAAAAACATCTCTGTGGAGTGGGGTGGTTGATGAGATTTCAGGAGGAAATCAAGGGACTTGAGATGGGAAATGAAGGGTGCGAACTACTCAAGATAAGAAAGTAAGATGGGAACAAAGTTAGGATTTAGGATGAGGAAGTCTGGGGCCATGAAGCAGATGGTATTGGGATTTGAATACTTCTTATTTTGTCCATACAACTGAATCCAAATTATTTTTCTTTAATTTTAAAGTAAAGACAACACTAATTTGTACATACATAATTTTCCTAAGAAAGTAGATGTGTGCGTAGAAAGAATAATTTAGAGCTAAATTTCCAGATAATTTCAGTGTGACATGGGAGGTGAAGGAGGGGAATATCCAACATGGGGAAACGGTCTTGTCTTGTACAAAGGAAGAATATAAACACCAATTAATTCTTTATGTTGAAAAAGCATATACATATGTTTATTTTTCTACTTCTTTCTCTGTTATTTGAATGTTGTTACAAATTGAATTGTGTCCCCCCCAAAAGATACGTTGAAGTTCTAACCCCTCTGGCTGTGAATGTGACTCTGTTGGGAAAGAGGATCTTTGAAGGTGTTATCAGTTAGGTTAACATGAGGTCATGTATCAGTAGGTCCTAATCCTATATGACTGGTGTCCTTATAAAAGAGAAGAAGATACACAGAGGAAGATAAACAGAGGAAGGATACCCCGGTTCATTGCAGCTGCAAGCCAAGGAATGCCTGGAGCTACCAGAAGTTGGGAGAGAGGTGTGGAACATATCCTCCCTCAAAGCCTCAGAAGGAATGAAAACAGTCAACACCATTATCTCAGTCTCCTAGCCTCCAGAACTGTGAGACAATAAATGTTTGTTCTTATAAGCAGGGACTGATTACCTAATAAGTGAGGTACACATGGGCTTAATTGTGCTTACTTATTAATCTGTAGTGCACAATTTTACCTGTTTTTCACATCTTTGACCTGGTGAAACCCATGTGAAATTGTTCATTACAGATTAGTAAGTAAACACAATTAAACAATTAAGCCCTTGTGTACCTTGCTTACTGTAGGCCAGTGCGTACTGTGCTTACTGGTTAATCTGACTGTGTTTATAAACCATCCAGTCAGTGGTATTCATTACAGCATTCCCAGGAAACCAGTATAAATGTCATGAGTTAGAGTTACCAGCCCAGATAGCCTCTTTCTCAAAATTAATTTTATTTTAGGAGATACGCTGCCTATTCCGACCACTGGTCCTTGAGAAAATGAAGCTTGCATTGTCCATCCCACCAATATTCTCAAATTTCATATCTCAAAGAGGAGGGATTAGGTTTGTTCTCTCCCAGAAGGCCCTGGGGTCCTTATACAAATTGTTCTATCTCTGCCTCAGTAACCAGTTTTTCATTCTAGGGATTATAGTGAGTGACAGACTTGATGGAGTGATGAAAGATATTTGCTACAACCTCGTTACAGAGCTAGGGCTTTTACCTGCCTTGCACTTGGATAAAGACTAGGACCATTCTAGTGACCCAACAAGGAATAAATAGTAAGCATCTCTTGTAAATGATATGAAAAAATATCTTAACCTGATATATGTAAAATATTCATAATACTGCCTGGCCCATAGTAGGGGGCTCAAAACACATCAGTTCTTTTCTCTTTTTCTCTCCCTGGTTACCCTCACTCCTGCTATTTGTCTAAGATAGTTTTTGATCCAAGATTCTTTATTCTCTTGAATCCTGCATAGCTTATGTTTCATTCAGGTGAATCAGTAAAAGGGATCTGTTGCTATTGGTTGCTGTCGAGTTGATTTCTACTCATAGTGACGCCATGTGACAGAGTAGAATTGCCCCCATAGGATTTTCTAGGCTGTAATCTTTACAGGAGTGGATTGTTGTCAGGTCTTTTCTCCCATGGAACTGCTAGTAGGTTCAAACTAAAGGTTACTAGCTGGCCACTTAATCACTGCTCCACCAAAAAAACCCAAAAGCCATTGCTGTCGAGTCAATTACAACTTATAGCGACCCTATAGGACAGAGTAGAACTGCCCCATAGGCTTTTCAAGGAGCAGCTGGTGGATTTGAACTGCTGACCTTTTGGTTAGCAGCTGAGCTCTTAACCACTGCACCACCAGGGTTCCTAAAAAGGGATCGGGGTAAAGGGAAAGGGTATTTAAGCTAAATCCAAGACTGAAGTGCAAGAGCAAGAAGGTGACTGATGTGGGAAGCTAGTGAAGAATCTTGGAAAGAGACTCAAGGAGCAGTTGGATTCTTTGCTTTTGAAAAGAAGCGTTAAATTGGTGTTACTTTCAAGTATGCCAATTGTCAATCTGGTATTTACCATAGGCATATCTTTTTCTCATCTTTGGCTAAATAGAACATTTTCAGATATCAGGAGTTTACCTCTATTTTCTCAGTACTATTCTGGATAAACCAAGAAGTAAAAAACAAAAAAGTTTTATCAGTAGACAACAAAACTTATTTCTTTAAAGCTAAAAGCTTGAAATTGCCTTCAACATAACTACTAATTTTAATCTCATGAAAACTTTCAAACATTCACAAATGTAGAGAGAATAGTACAATGAAACCTTATACATATACTTCTCAGATTTAAAAAGTATTAGCATTTTGCCATGCTTGCTTCTTATACCTTCCTTTTCTTTCTTTTTGTTGCTAATGTATTTTAAAGCAAATCCAAGATCTCATGACACTTCATGGTTTGTACTTATAATTCTACTGATTTTTAATTGAATTATTGATTAAGTAGTTAACAGGAAACAGGATCTTACAGGAAGTGTCTAGTGAGGTGCAAAGTATCACAATTAATCTTTTCTCATTTAATCAAAGAGAGCAGCAGGGCTCTAGCTATATCAATTATGTTTAGAAACGGAAATTTAAAAAAAAAAAAAACCAAGAAAACAATTTTAAGTATTTTTAAGCCCTTACTTCTGTTTTCCTTCCTCTTGACGTATTCCTCATTAACAACTGGCTACTTCTTGGTACTCTTGACCCCCTGTGTAACCAGGATATATGTAAATCACACTTATTTAACTAAGCAAGGGATTAGCAAGGTGCTAGGACATAGTTCCAAAAGCAGTTTTCATTTTTACAGCAAAATCCTAGATCTTCTGTCTGGGAGACCTTTGTAAAAAGTATTTTTAGCACTACTAGTTATGTTAATAGGAGCCCTGGTGGTGCAGTGGTTAAGGCTTCAAGTGCTAACCATAAGGTCAGAGATTGGAAACCACCAGCAGCTCTGAGAAAGAGGTGGCAGTCCGCGTCTATAGAGAGTCACAGCCTTGGAAACCCTATGGGGTCACTATGAGTCAGAATTGACTTGACAGCTGTGGGTTACTTAGGTTAATATTGTAACTGCACACTTATCAGTATTTTAAATACTTTTTCTTGCTTTTGCAAGTTTCAGGATTTGGTATCTTAAATTTTGTTACCTTGTTCATAGTTGGAAAGGATCAAAAATTATTAGTGTGGAAATAACCAAGCCTATTCCTTTCTCTCTGCCAAAAGCAGAATGTTGTCTTTGCTTTTTCCATTTCTGGCCTCCCACCCTTTCCCCCTGAGGAGGATCGTCTCTGCCAGATTGTTTCAATGTAGTTCTGAGATGCAGAATTCAAGATTGGGAAGGAAGAGAAAAAGAAAACCTAAATTGACCTAGGGTAATTTGAAAAATAACTGGCAGAGAGCGGGTGGAGAGAAAGAGAAAGTAGTTGAAAAAAGGGAAGTGAGAATATGGGAGTGTGGTTTGCAAATATGAGGCTCCAGAGTAATGTGGGTTTACAGAGAATTGAGGAGAGAAAAAAGATATGAGAAATGTTACTGGCATTTATGAATTGGAGTTTATTAACTATTTTAGAAGAGAGCTAAACAAATTATTATAATTTTTTTTAAAATACATTTTGGCGAGTTGACCTGTACTTCTTTGAAAGCGTTTCCATTTACTCACAAATGGTTTTCTATGCTATATACATTCCTTGAAAATATCTTTTTGATGACAGCATAAGGTTGTAACCAGTGAATGTACTGCAATGTACCATTCCTGTATAATTGGATTTATATTATTTCTACTTTTCTGCTATTTAAAACCACTGTGATGAATATATTTGTGCACATAGCTTCTTTCTTAAGATTATTTCACTAGGGTAGACTCACAGAAGTAGAAGTGTAAGGGGAAAGTTATAAATTTTATATTGTCAAATTAGTTTCTTGTTTAGATGTATCAACTTGTATACACTCCCACCAGCAATATATGAGCATACCTATCCTAGAACCGTTGATCAGCACTGAGTATTTTATTTCTTAGTCTCTTTTTTCATGTGGTTGTTTTTCTAACTTTTGAAATGCTTGCTAAATTATAGGTTGAACAAAATCTCTACTGTCGTGAGAAATGGGTGAATACCTTCTTATATTACTTTGTATTTTCCTCTTAAAGGAATCTTTGATAGATCATCCTTCGTGTTTTCTCTCATGCTCCCTTCACGACTTCCCTTCTGTCATATCTAGCACTGCAATAACAGAAATACCACAAGTTGGTGGCTTTAACAAACAGAAATTTATTTTCTCACAGCTTAGGAGGCTAGAAGTTTGAATTCAGGGTCCTGGCTCTAGGGGAAGACTTCTCTCTCTGCAGGCTCTGGGGGAAGGTCCTTGTCTCTTTTTCAGCTTCTGTTTCTCGGTTCCTTGGAGATCTCATGTAGTACGGCATTTATCTTCCCCCTCTGTGCTTTCTTGCTGCTTGCTTAATCTGCTCTTCTATATTTCAAAAGAGCAGATTAAGTTCTTTTATATCTCATACCCTATACTAATACTGCCTCATTAACATAACAATGAAAACCCTGTTCCCAAACGGGATTATAACCACAGGTATAGTATGATTTACAACACGTATTTTGGGGGGACACAATTCACTCCTTGACGCCTTCCTTTCTTCCTTACGTCTTTCTTTCTCCCTTTCTCTTGCTTCCTCTCTGCCTTCTTTCTCTCATTTTTTGGTAAAGCTTTTTGATATTTATTTTGGAATATATTAAAAAAGAACACAAACAAACTCTATCCTGGTAATGGTAATCTTGACCACTTTTAGCAATGCTGAGGGAACTCATTGGCTTGCAAAGTCTCCCTGTCCCATTCCATTTATCCTATTGTGTCTCACAGCAAAACAAAAATAAAATTAAATGGTGCTGTTCAAAATGCCCTTAAAATATCTGAAGACAGTTACCTAAGCATTCTTTTCTCTATGATAAAGAGCCGCAGTCACTTTCCACAAGCAACAGTGTTTTGGAAAAAGGCTTTACTAACCTGTCCAACCCTCTTTGGACATGCTGTCCTTCACTGTCTCAGCACTGACAGCAGAATTTCAGAGGTGGCATATGAATCATTTGTAAAACTACCACTGAAAATAATTATGCATTATGTTGGAAATACCCTTTAGAAATGGATTCACACAACAATTACCTAATATTGCTAAGTTTTAGTCAAAGGGTTGTTTTTGTTTTTTTTTTTTTTTCTGCTTGAAGAAAGCTATGTACCTCATCATGGTTCTCTTTCCTAAAATGGTTATGAAGCTTAATTATAGCCATAAAGTGTATAGAACACTGCCTGGAATAAAGTTCAATAAGTATATGTTAGTAACTAACATATTACTTTTTTGTCTTTAGTTTAATGACGTTATAAATTAATAACAATTCTATAAATGAAGTCTAATTTGAACTGAATTCAGTGAAACTGTTACTTACCTTGCTCGGGATACTCCTTTTGGTGCAACCTAAGGTAGGATTTGTTTTAAATGACAATTTACATAACATTTCTCTTTGTTCTTATCTATCCTCTGTATGGGGAAACATCATTGTGTATCAAAAAGAAAGAAATTCTTTAATTGCACTTCAGTTTCAGTATTCTTAAATTGTAAGGTAATTAATTCAACATGCCATTTTTTGCCAGATTCTTCTAGGAGTTAGAAAACAAAAGATAAGACAGACGTAAATGTCTAGATTGTTGCTAAACTGGTTTTTCACTCAGTGCTATTTTTGAAAACGTTTCATCTTTATTTGTGGAAATTTGATCTTTACCTCAGGCACTTTACCCAAGTCAACAGAAATGAAGGTACCTGTAGCCAGACTTGTAAAGTGGAGCTAACAGCCTTACTAATGCCAACACCACCCTACTTTAGAATCTAAAAGGTATACCATCAGAAACGAGAATCTGGATGAACAATTTTAAATTTACTTTTTTATTAAAATTTTTCATTTTTTTAAAAATTCATCCTTGCATCTATATTTACTTCTTTGGAAAACATATCCACATACATATCTGAGTATATACCAAGTTGAAAGGCCCATTATTATGAAAGATGAATCACAAAACGAAGTTCAAATGATGGCTTTTCAAGCCTAACTGTCCCTACTACATTTGAAGGTGGAAAAGTTACACACACCAAGCAAACATTTGAGGCAGCATCTCAATAGATACAAGACAACTCACAAGTGGTAGATCATTCTAGCAGCATAGAAGTGTGAAGGACTTCTCATTTCCAAAGCATTTGTTAACCTATTTAGTTATTTCAGAATCATCGTGCACTTTACATTAGTAATGCAAATAGTTAATGAGTTACTTGAAGAAGTCAAACACTCGTGTAGAATTGCAAGCCTTAGGTCATATTCCATCACCTAGCACACTATCACCTTACTAGGAAATTAAGATCTCTTAGAACTGTTCGTTGACTTCACAGTAATAAACTGGTCACAGCCTGAAGTAAATAGAGGGATCTTTAAAAAGCCAACACAATTTAGATGTTTTTCATACTTTTTAACAGCTATGTTAGTGTCAGTACTTTGGTGAGCAATAAAGCCAATTATCACCTCTATTAGGTAAACCTCCTGTAACTTTATGAAAAAAGGTCTAAGTTACCTAGAACATTCAGCACTTTATGTTCATGGCCATCAATGACTTTCCCCCAAATGTGCTAATTTCTACAATTAGCAAAACTAATTTCAACTTTTCAATGGTGGGGAATATATGTGATTTATTTAATTCATTAATTAGCTCAATCATTTACTAAATGCTTATTATGTGTCAGGCAGTATGCTAGGTAGGGGATACAAAAACGAGGTATAGTTCCTATCCTTGAAGAACACAGGTCTAGCCAGGGAAAAAGAAACATAAACAAATGATTATAATACAATATGATATGGAGGTATATTATTTATACCTTCCCGAGAGACGACATTTGTACTGGCCTTGAAATACGAGTAGGAGTTTTTCCAGGAAGCAAACCAAAGAAGAGGCACACTTCAGGTATTCTATTGTTTGTGTTCTGGATCACTAAGCACAATTCACATTTCCAGCATGACATAAAATTAAGTGAAACAAGTCATATAATAGTGTTGTGACACTATTTATTTGGTAGTAAAGTTTATATCAGTTGATTCATATATATTGTAAATTATTTTCTTTTGAAATATCTTATATCATAAATTACATTAATTCTTTCTTGGTTCTAAGGTTTATGAAATCTTTAAAATCCCTAAAAGCTTTTCAAAGTTCTTTTGCCAGAAAAGAATACATAACTAGTTTACTAAAAAGTTTTCTTCTCAGTAGTATATAAACATAAAGCTTACTTTTCTTTTCTAAATGACTTTATGTTGTATCAACACCCCCAATTCTTCTCTTAATGACAATGCAGGCAGATCCCATAACTTTCTAGTCATATTCTGCTATTTAAAATTCAGTTTAGTTTGACTCTCTTCTGCCTACCCAACTACCCCCTACCGTTCAACCACCCCTACCCCCACCCCCACCATACACACCATGTCAGCCAGTTTGTGGCCTGAAGGACTTGAAATGGGAAAGAAAACTGTTCTTTCACTCCTTGTCAGACATCCTGCCAGGTAGGTATGGTAGGATCTTCTTTGGTACAACTGAAATGAAATATAGATTGTGGACTCTGCTGTGTGTTTACAGGAAGTCAATGAGCCCATTAACATTTTTATTATCTACCATTATCAACCAAGGCTTCCTGTGATAAATATCTCCTGTGGACTCAGAATCAACATTTCACAATTTGAGCATGTGGTGACCTCTTCATAACCTTAAAACACTGCTAATTTAAGAAATATTTGTTGATTTACCTCCTCTGGCTCTGGGTCAGACTGTTATATAGGTTAAACCTTAGCACAAGAAAAAAAAAAAAAAGCATTTCATTTGGGTAGAGCACTTTTCTTTCTAGGTATATACATAGGTCTAGTAGTCCAAACAAGAGCCCTGGTGGCACAGTGGTTAATCGCTTGGCTGCTGTCCAAAAGGCCGGCAGTTTGAACCTACCAGCTGCTCTGTGGGAGACGTGGCAGTTGATTTCCATAAAGACTACAGCCTTGGAAACCCTATGGGGTAGTTCTACTCTGTCCTCTAGGGTTGCTATGAGTCAGAATCAACTGAACGGCACACGAGAAGAACAGTAGTCCAAACAGGTTATTTTTATTGATACAAAATCTAAGTTGCTTCTAAGTGTTTCAAGGTTACCACTGTGGTTGGTAATTCAGGTTGATTTAAACTGACCAATACTACTAACAATAGCAAACATGTATTATGTAGTTACTATATGTCATTGTGCTGAGTAATATACAGGTTTTATTTAATCTAGATAATGATTCGATGAGATGGTGATATTATTCCTATTTTATAATGAGAAAACTGAATGTGAGAGGTCATGAAACCAGCCTAACTTTACCTATCTGTTAAGCAAGCATTGGAGCTTTGACTCAAAAGCCAGCTAAGCCAGCTCAGCTGGCTGATTGGAGCTACAGTGTGAATCTAGGCTCCACCCTTTATTTGTTGTGTGAACTTAGGCAAGTTATCTCTCTTTTTTGTGCATCAGTTTCCTTGTCTATAAAATGATAATAACCATTGTATCTACTTCATAGGTTTTGTGAGGTGAATTAAATAAGTAAAACACTTAGAAGAGCTGACACAGAGTAAGTACTATTTAAAATCATAACTAGTGGCAGGATGGTTAAGCCCTTACCAAAAACCAAACCTGTTGCCATCAAGTCGTTTCTGACTCATGGTGACCCTATAGACAAAGTAGAACTGCCCCATAGGGTTTCCAAGGAGTGCCTGGTAGATTCAAACTGCCAACCTTTTGGTTAACTGTTGTAGTTCTTAACCACAATTCCACCAGGGTTTTCAGTTAATCCCTTGGCTAACCGAAAAGTTGGTAGTGGGAACCTACCCAACAGCTCCATGGGAGAAAGACCTGGTGATCGGCTTCCGTAAAGATTACAGCCAAGAGAACACTATGGGGCAGTTCTACTCTGTCACATGGGGTTGCTATGAGTTGGAATCGACTCAAAGGCACTCAACAACAACAACAAAGTCTTAATTTTACATGTCCATAACCCCTTATCAGAAACCCATGAAGTCAGATGTATTTTGAAATTCAGAATTTTTCAGATTTTAGAAAGGCAAATCAGAACATACACCAAATTTTATAAAACATTCCCAGCAAGGCCTGGGGGGCTTCCCATAAGCTAAGATATTAATATATCTTATTGAAACATGAATAATCACACAAAGTAGAGCATATAAAATGCAGCAAAATAAAGACTATAAATAGATTACTTTCAGTTCAGGTCTGGATTTGTTACAAATCAGTTTGTGGCAAATTGCAAATATACTTTTGAGATTTGAAAATTTTAGAAAAGTTTTTTTTTAATTGTAGTAAAATATATGTAAAAAAATTTTGCCATTTTACTCATTTGTAAGTGTACAATTCAACAACATTAATTACATTTACCATGTTATACTACCACCGCCACTATCCATTTTCAAATATTTTTCATCATCCTAAACAGGAAGTACACAGTGCTGAAGGTGCTCACTTGTCTATGCCAAGAAATTTGAAAGACAGCTACCTGGCCAGTCGACTGGAAGAGATCCATATTTGTGCCCATTCCAAAGAAAGGTGATCCAACAGAACGTGGACATTATCGCACGATAGCATCAATATCATAAACAAATAAATTTTTGCTGAAAATCATTCAAAAGAGGCTGCAGTCATGCATCGACAGGGAACTGCCAGAAGTTCAAGCCAGATTCAGAACAGGATGTGAAACAAGGGATATCATTGCTGATATCAGAAGGATCTTGGCTGAAAGTACGGAATACCGGGAAGATGTTTACCTGTGTTTTATTAACGATGCAAAGGCATTCAACTGTGTGGACCATAAAAAATTGTGGATAACATTGTGAAGAATGGGAATTCCAAAACACTTAATTGTGCTCATGCAGAACCTATACTTAGATCAAGAGGCAGTCGTTCAGAGCAAAGGGATACTGCGTGGTTCAAAGTCAGGAAAGGTGTGTGTCAGGGTTGTATCCTTTCATCATACTTATTCAATCTGTATGCTGAGCACGTAATATGAGAAGCTGGACTATATGAAGAAGAATGTGGCATCAGGATTAGAGGAAGACTCATTAACAACCTGTGATATGCAGATGACACAACCTTACTTGCTGAAGGTAAAGAGGACTTGAAGCACTTACTGATGAAGTTCAGAGACTACAGTCTTCAGTATGGATTATACCTCAACAAAAAGAAAACAAAAATCCTCACAACTGGACCAATAAGCAACATCATGATAAATGGAGAAAAGAATGATGTTGTCAAGGTTCTCATTTTACTTGGATCCACAAACAACACCCATGGAAGCAGCAGTGAGGAAAACAAATGATGTATTGCATTGGGCAAATCTGCTGCAAATGACCTCTTTACAGTGTTAAAAAGCAAAGATGTCACCTTGAAAACTAAGGTGCACCTGACCCAAGCCATATTTTCAATTGCCTCATACGCATGTGAAGGCTGAGCAATGAATAAGGAAGACCAAAGAAGAATTGATGCCTTTGAATTATGGTGTTGGCGAAGAATATTGAATATACCATGGACTGCCAGAAAAATGAACAAGTCTGTCTGGGAAGAAGTGCAGCCAGAGCTCTCCTTGGAAGTAAGGATGCTGAGACCTTGTCTCACATACTTTGGAAGTGTTATCAGGAGGGACCAGTCCCTGAAGAAGGACATCATGCTTGGTAAAGTAGAAGGTCAGTGAAAAAGAGGAAGACCCTAAGCGAGATGGATTGACACAGTGGGTGCAACAATGGGCTCAAACATAGCAACGATTGTGAGGATGGTGCAGGACCGGGCTGTATTCCGTTCTGTTGTACATAGGGTTGCTGTGAGTCAGAACCCACTCGATGCCACCTAACAACAACAACAGACAGGAACTCAGTACCCCTTAAGTACCTATTTCCCCTCCCTCCAGCCCCTGGTAAACACTAACACACTTTTGGTTTCTGTGCATTTGCCTAATCTAGATATTTCATGTATCTAGTGAGATCATATAGTATTTGTACTTTTATGTCTGACTTATTTCGCTCAACAATGTTTTCATGGTTCATTCATGTCATAGCATGTGTCAGAACTTCATTTCTTTTTATGGCTGAATAATATTCCATTGTATTAATATGTTACATTTTGTTTATCCATTCATCTGTTGATGGACACTTGAGTTGTTTCCATCTTTTAGCTGTTGTGAATAATGCTGTAGTCAACCTGGGTGTACATGTATCTGTTTGAGTCCCTGTTTTCAATTCCTTCGGATATATACCAAGGAGAGGAATTACAGAGTCTTATGGTAATTCTATGTGGAACTTTTTGAAGAACTGCCAAACTCTTTCCCACAGCAGCTGCACTATTTTACATTCCCACCAGCAATGCATGAGGATTCCAATTTCTCCACATCCTCGTCAACATGCTATTTTTCGTTTTTATCATCATAGTCATCTTAGTGGGGGTAAAGTTGTATTGTACTTTTGATTTGCATTTCCCTAATGATTAATGACGTCGACTGAGTATCTTTTCATGTACTTATTGGCCATTTGTACATCTTCTTTGGAGAAATATTTATTCAGTCCTTTGCCCATTTTTAAATTGGGTTCTTTGTCTTTTTGTTATTGAGTTGTAGGAGTTTTTTATACATTCTAGATATTAAACCTTTATCAGATTTGTGGTCACTAAATATTTTCTCCCATTCTGTGGGCTGTCTCTTAACTTTGTTGATGAAGTCTTTTGATGCACAGAAATTTTTCATTATGATGAAGTCCAATTTATCTGTTTTTTCTTTTGTTGTTTGAGTTTTTGGTGTCATATCTAACAACAACAACTTGTTGTCATTGAGTTGATTCTGACTCATAGCCACCCTGTAGGGCAGAATAGAACCGCCCCGTAGAGTTTCCAAGGAGCGCCTGGTGGATTTAAACTGACAATCTTTTGGTTAGCAGCTATAGCTCTTAACCGCTATACCACCAGGGTTTCCCATATCTAACAATCCATTGTCAACAACCCATTGTCAAAAACTAGGTCTGAAAGTTTTGCCCCTATGTTTTCTGCTAGATAGTTTATTGTTTTAATTCTTTTATTTAGGTGATTGATCCATTTTGAGTTAATTTTTGTTTATGGTGTGGGTCTTGGTCCAACTTTACTCTTTGGCATGTGGAAATCCAGTTGTCCCAGCACCATTTATTGAAAAGACCATTTTTTCCCCATTGAATGGACTAGACATCCTTGTCGAAAATCAGTTGGTCATAGATATATGAGCTTATTTCTGGACTCTCAATTCTATCCCATTGGTCTATACGTCTATACGTATATCAGTACAAAAGTGGTTTGCTTACTGTAACTTTCTAGTATGTTTTGAAATCAGGAAGTGTGAGTCCTCCTACTATGTTCTTTTTCAAGATCACTTTGTCTATTTGAGGCCCTTTGCAATATTTCGTATGTATTTGAGGACTGGATTTTCCATTTCTACAAAAAAAAAAAAAAAGGCTGTTGGAATTTTTATAGGGATTGTGTTGAATCTATAGATCACTTTGGGTAGTACTGACATCTTAACAATATTAAGTCTTCCAATCCATGAACACAGGATATCTTTCCTTTTATTTAATAGGTCTTCTTCAGTTTCTTTCAGTAATTTTTTTTAC